AACAAATGGGACATTGATAGGGGGTCCATTTCAGATTAAGGAGAAATCTAGTGCTATGAAATCCCCCAGGAACTCACAAGGGTGACCCCAACTAAGACTCCTAGCAATGGTGGAGAGGAAGCAGAGACAGAGATCCACAGACGAGCACTGTGCTGAGCTCCTAGAGTCTTGCAGAAGAAAGGGAGGAGGGACTGTACCAGCCAGTGAGTTCATGATGGGGGAACCCACAGAGACAGCTGACCTGAGCTCGTGGGAATTCATGGACACTGGACCAACAGGGAGCCTGCATGGGACTGACAGAGGCCCTCTGTAATCGTGTGGCTTGGTCTCTTAGTAAGACTTCTAACAGTGAGAGCAGGACCTCTCCCTGAAGCTTAGCTGGCTTTTGGTAACCTGTTCCCCAAGCTGGATTACCTGGCACTACCTCAGTGTAAGGGGAGGAGCTTGACCCTGCCTCAACTTGATGGGCCATGCTTTGAGGAAGTCATGGGAGGCCTGTCCCTTTCTGAGTGGAGATGCAGGAGGAGTGGATGAGGAGGGGGTAGATGCGGATGGGGAGGGGATGGGAGGAGAGCAGGGAGGGGAAACTGGTCGGTATATTAAAAAATGTTATTTAAATAAAAAATAAAATTGGACAGAAGTGAGGAAACGTCCATTGAGATCGGCTAACTCTCTGGGCAGTCATGGGCTGTCAGTGGAGGGCCCATATGCTCTATGCCTGTCCCCCTGACCAAACCGGGGAGATAGTCATGCCGTGCTCTGTATGGCACACACAGTTAGGAGTGGTGGAAGTCCCCCTCTGTCCATCCCTGACTCAGCTCTGATATTGAACATCTGCTAACTTAGTCACTTGTCACCGTTACTGCTCTTCAATATTGTGGGCTCTCCAGTGCTGTTAATTATACCAAGATCTCATTGCTGTCACATTTGCACAGATTTAGCTTTACTATGGCCAAGAGTCACGCTATCCCAGCCACCATGAAGAAGCCACAGTCTCTTGTCTTCTCTGTATTTATCTATAGGGCAGTCTGAGGTGATCTGCTAGGTTGAAACTTCCTGTTAGAAGCCACCTCACAATTTAGTCACAGTTAGCTGCGTTGGAAATAGGAGTATGCGGATGATAACAGTCCTGTCCCTTTCTGCATGGGGATGGGGGAGGAGTGGATGGGGAGGGACATAGAGGGGGAGGGGAGGGAATGGGAGGATAGGAGGGAGGGGAAACTGGCTGGTTTGTAAAATAAATGGGAAAAAAAGCAGATTCATGGTTCTGAAGAGATGGTCCACAAGTTAAGGGCACTCATTAGACTCACAGAGGACCCAAGTTTAGTTCACAGCACCCACATCTGACAGTCCATGTTGCCTGAAACTCCAGCTACAGAGGGTCTGAATGCCATCTTCTGGCCCCCAGAATCGTATTTTCTACATGTAAGGAATCATTATCCATAACCATTTTAACCAAGATTCCCCCACAGCTTCTGGATCATTCGATCTTCCTCCAGAGAGAATAACCGTTATGTCTAGCAGGCAGTGTATTTAATATGGCATGGGAAGATCTAATTTAACTAAGGTTTGATACGGCATGGGAAGTCCAATTAGGGATCGAGCCAACGAGAAGTTGAGCTTCAGCTTGGTGAGCCTGGTCTGCTTCCAAGTCACCTCTGCCCTCAGTGTGTAGCCCTTTAGGGACCCCACCTAAGCATACATCAGGGGACTTGGCTCCCTCTGTCCCTACTTCACTCTCCCCATCCCAACCCCAGTACTGTAAAATCACTGCTCTCACCCCAGGGTCTTTGCATGCTGATGAGCTCAAGGAAAGGAGGAGTGCCAGGTAGAACCTTCTGGCTTCCTGTCAGGGCCCCTTGTCTTTCCATTGCTTTGGAAGATCCCAATGACTGGAAACATTGAAAACAAAACCACTTTCTGATAGCTTTTCTAGTTGAGGGAACCGGTCAGCAGTTTGCTAATCTTTCTGTAGAAAGCAGAGCTTGGCCTCATTGCACCTTGGTTCTCTGTAGACTTACTCTTTCCTGGGTCCCTGCTGTGAGGATTCTGCTGGCTTGGCTCTAGAAGCTCAGCTTTCCTGTTCTAGATGGCTTTCTTCTTGGAAAAGTGGAAGTAGCCCAGAAATTCGAGTTTAGTCCCAGTTTTTGCCTTGTTAACATGGCACCTGCTCTGTCTTAGGTGGGTAAACAGACAGACTGAGGGAAAAGCTGCACCTCCCAAAGCTTTCACAGACCCCCCCAGTGCCTCCGGGGGAGGACCAAGTGTTCAAATACCAGCGTCAATGGGGGCATTTCCCATCCAAACCACCCCACTCCCCAAATTCTGTGAAACTGGTTCTATAAGTAGCTTTTCTCTGCACCTTAGGGGAAACATCAGGGCACTCCCTCCCCATGTCAGTATTTTAATTATTACATCCTGGGCTAGGGGTGTACAGGGTTAGTGTTCTCTCCTAACATGCGCGATGCCTCGGATTCCACCCGAAGCACCACAAGGAAGTCAAACTTTAGGATCAGAGCCTTCTTTCTCCTCTAGGACTGAGACCAGAGTCCATTGGTTTCTTCATGTCCTCACACTCCCATGCACTGGAGGCATGGTCTCCTTGAGGACCTGAGTGCCAGGTAGTGGAGAGCTGGAAGAGGCAGGAAGTTCCTGGGACCAAGTGCTGTGAGTCGGCACCAGACCCCTCTGCTCTTCTTAAGCACTAAGGCCAGTTTACTCTGTTTTGGGTGGATGCAAAGCCTCAGTATCTCTTGATGTTAATGTCTCTCTCTGGCTAAGAGACTATTAACTTCATCTCCACCAGTCTCTGGGGGTAGCCCGTGGGCGTCATTTTATGCCTCTAAATTCTCGGCCAGTTCCTCATACTGACTTTGCCAGACCTCCTGTAGCCTTAGGCTCTCTCTGACCAGCTATCAGCCCTTATCTATTGTCTTTCTTACCATGGGCCACGCACCCCTATCCAAATGGTTTCTTGGTCCTATTGCAGTATTTTTCCTTGGAGCTGAGGTGGGTGGGATTTACATCACACAATCACACTGGTAATAGCAGCCAAATATCCCATTGGGATCTCTTTCAGCCTCTCTTGTCTCTTAGGCAGGAATCCATCCACATCTCTCCATATTTGCTTCCCAAGCTCTAGGTTGGTTTCTCCTACCTTACTTTTTTTTTTTTGTTGTTTGTTTTTTACGAGACAGGGTTTCTCTGTATTGTTTTGGAGGCTGTCAGTCCGGCCCGGCCTAGAACTCACAGAGATCCACCTGCCTCTGCCTCCCGAGTGCTGGGCTTAAAGGTGTGCACCACTACCGCCCAGCACTTTATTTTTATTTTGATTACATTTAACCATTATTTTAAAAATTTTTATACAATATACTTTGATCATATTGTCCCCTCCCCCAAGTCCTCCCAGGTCCTCTTCACCTCTCTCTTGTTCCCTCTTAGCACTCCTGACAAGAAAAACTAAGACCCAAAAGACAAAAGCACCGAGTCATAGCAGCAACCAAAAAAAAAAAAGAACACATGAAACATGGAGTCTGGCCGGGCGGTGGTGGCACACGCCTTTAAGCCCAGCACTCGGGAGGCAGAGGCAGGCGGATCTCTGTGAGTTCAAGGCCGGGCTGGACCGACAGCCTCCAAAACAATACAGAGAAACCCTGTCTCGTAAAACCAAAAAAAAAAAAAAAAAAAAAAAAAAAAAAAGAAAAGAAACATGGAGTCTGTTTTGTGTTGGTCAACCACTCCTGAGCATGGGGCGAGGAGTTCAGTTGATATGCCCAGTTCACTCTGTTGGAGAAAACCGGTTTTCTCTTTCCCATGTATCAGCTGCAAATAGTCTCTTAGATAGGGGTGGAATTTTGGTGCTGGGATTTTGTCTGGAAAACACAGACCTGCACAAATCCTCCTTAGTTATAATGTGTGAGTGAGTAATTCGCATTCATTGCTTTGGGAACTTCTGAAAAGGAGACAGGACTTCCATTACACCCTTCTATGACATCCTATTACAACATGCTTGAAGTGCGTGGCCAAAACCGCAACAACAAACCAGTAAATACTGCTCTGGATCTCTCAGGGGTTCAGGAGTCAGTCGCTCTGCCTGGGGGAGTAAAGGCTAGGGGCTGTCCTCACAAAGGTCCAGCAGGCAGTAACAACCAAAGAGTGTGAGAAGCCTCAACAGGTGAGACCTTCCAGACACTTTCCAATATGAGGGCCCAGGGGGACAGGACGAGACCTGTCTGCAGAGGCCAGAGCTAGGAATGAAGATCATCGCCTTAATTGCGACACTATCTTCCCCTCCAGATTCCGAATTCCATTTTCCTAGTGCTCATTGGTACATTGTACTGTTTAATTACCACCAAAATCATGACAGTGTCTATAAAAGCCATATTACAGGAAAATTTATCTTAGATGAGAATTAGCCACACTGATGATCGGAATTAGGGCAGGCATTTGCTGAGGGTAAGGACAATTCAAGGGCACAACAGACAATAGCAAGCTCCAGGTGTATTGCCGAGGGCGTATTTCCGCCCTGGGGCTAGGCTTAGAAGGCGACCACCGCCACCCAATACTCTCAGGCTCCCAAACGCACAGCGAAGCGGGCCAAGGCAGCTCCGGGAAGACTCCAGACTGGACCCTTCCCACGGTCAGGCTCAGCTCCCTTCCCCACCACGCTGTGCCATCACTGTCAGGTCAGCCGCTCTGGGCAGCATGGGGCACGTGGAGAGCTTTCTAGATGACTGAGCGTGATCCGGAATTACGAGTGTCGGTGCGGAACACATTCCCAAACGGGTGTGTGTCTGGAGGCCGCGAGGTCAGATCTGACAGCTTTGACCGAGTTCCTGCGCTCTGGGGGGTAGGACTGGCCCCAGCATCCTCCGCCTTCCTGCCCCCTGGGCCGAGCCTAGTCCCTAGATTCGTCCCGCTGGCCGAGCCCAGCTCCCCGCCTTGCCCGGCCTCTTAGCCTCGCCCCGCCCCTGGCCTCCGTGGCCCCGCCCCGTGCCAGCCCCTCCCGGAAGCGCCGTCGGAGCGTGTGCATGGCGCGCGAGTCCTGTGTCTCGGGGGCTGACTCCGCCGCGGCCGCGCTCTTCGCCTGGGTACGTGGCTCCGCCCCCGCGCTCGGGGAGCGACTGAGGGGGTTCGGAGACCCGGGAGCGCCCGGCGTCTGCGTAGGTGGCGGGGGAGCTGGAAGGCAGAGGCCCGAGCCCGGGTCCTGGGTTTTAGTACTGTGGGCTGCGGCAGGGAGGAGAGGGTGCGGAGGGAGGGTCTCCCCGCGGTGCCTGCGGGCCTTGCTGCTGGTAGTGGGATGAGGACCCGAGCGACTGAGCCACTTCGGGAGGACCCTACCTTCAGGGCAGAGCGTCCATTCTGGGAAAGCCCTTGGCCACCAGAGCGCCCGGGAAACCAGCGTGGAGGCTGGACGGAGAGAAGATTGCTTGGTGCCAGAGCTTGTGGGGGCCACCTGTGTCATCCTTTTGCCTGGGGGATGGAAGGCTCCTTTCCAGCGCCGTCACCCTGGGGAGCATCCTTTGGATGTGAGGCCTGTGGAGTGTGGCCGCGCCGGACGCAGATCCTGCCTGCGTATTTGCTGTTTCTATGGTGTCCTCGGATCCTATCTCTTCTGGGGGTGTGGGAGTCAGGTTTGACGCTGAGCTTTGAGAGAACCATGGTCAACCCTGTGTGTGACTGGAGAGGAGGCTTTATGCTCGCGAATGTAGAGGACATGCGTGGCAAGGAAGCGTATGTTGGGTGTTGCACTTCTTAATATTAAATGCCAAAATTGTAATGGAATGCATGATTTGTTAAACGGCAGTCTCCTTAGCTACAGCGGAGGTGTTCTGAGAGTGAGCACTGAGCTGGTGGTGTTCACATTGTCTCTCCTGGTGCCTGGCATCTTAGAGACCCCAGGCAAATACTTGTTGACTAATGACTGAATGAACGAATGGATGAAATGAATGGATGAGTACCTGTGTTAATGTTTGGGGTTCCAGTTCCTGTTGTAGAGGAGGCCAACACACCCGTGTTTCTGCCAAAATTAGTATTTATTGACATACCTTTCACTTGTTGGGTGTATGGCTGTTGGAAGGGAGAGCATGGCATGGCCTAGCTGGCTCAGCTCCTTGAGGTAGCCCTTGAAGTGGGGGCGGGGTTAATAACTGATTGTGTCGTTGTCTGTCATTTTCCAGCTAGGAGACTGCTGTTATTTTGGCAGAGGAAAAACATATGACAGAAAAAAGCCTTTCAGATGTGGCCTTGAATGGACAGACAGAAACAGGGCTGAGCCTCACTTTACTAGTGTGCGTGGTGGCCTGCTGGGGTGTTCTTCTCCTGCATGACCAGGGTGGCTTCTGCTGCTGTGACAAAGCACCACAGACTGGGTTCTTAAACAATAGAATTTATTTTCTCACAGTGCTGGAGGCTTCGAGTTCAAGATTAAGGGTGTGGGCACTTTTGGTTTCTTTGAGGCCTCAGGTGGTTGTTTCTTGGTGCATGGGTATCCTTGGTATCTTAGGAAGAGACGAGATGGACAGGACTAGGGTCCCACCCTTATGGTTTCACCATTTAACCCTAATTACCTCTTTAAAGGTTGTGTCTCTAAATACAGTTGTACTGTGAGATGTCAGAGGTTAGGGCTTTAACGTAGAAATTTTATAGAAACATAGTTCATCCTTTCACAGGGATGTGTGTGTGTGTGTGTGTGTGTGTGTGTGTGTGCGCGCGCGCGAGCGCACGCGCCTGCCCTCTGGGTCCCTTGTAAAGAAGGAAGGTATACATAGTTATCATAGGGTATATTAAAATGTCCTTTACCCAGCTTTATCTTGGGTTTAAGGCCCCTTCTCTACAGAGACTGGTACATAGCAGGAACCTCAGATTGCCCTTGCCTGGCTGGCTTCTCCCTCAGGTGTTCCTCATCTTGCAAACCTGGAAACAGGACAGTCAGGTTGGATAGAAACTCCAGCATATGCTCTCTGCTTCTCTCTGCAAGTGTGAATTTGACCTTTCCCAGGTGGAGACTTGTACCTGACATCCACACTTGGCCAGTGCAGCTTGAGGTTTAGGAGAATAGCTGTGAGCAAGACCAAGTCCCTGCCTTCGTGGTTTCTAGGAGAGGAGGTAGACCAGTCAACAGGCAGGACACACTGTAGTGCCAGGGAATTACAGAGAAGAAGAGAAAGGGGATGGAGTGATGGAGGTGAGCAGTAGTCTAGAGTCATGTGGCTTAACCTCTGGGCTGGTCCCAAAAGCAAACTTCCTTAGTTTCTTATTGACACAGTAAGAGCTATTGAAAGAAGCAGGCTTCTAACTTGCTCACCCATTTCATCTGTAAAAATGGATGCTAGCACTCCTTAGTTGTGAGGGCTAAAAGTGTCTGTCGTATGTGGAGAAGCCCTTAGTTGGAGCTTTGTTGTTCCCAAGACCCTCTTGACCTGTGCCCCTCCCATAGCTCGTTCTTTGTCTTGGAGCCCTGCTAGCTGCTCAAGGTGGCTGGAAAAACCCAGCAGACAGGAGGGTTTGAAGTAGTGTGTTTCGCACTCATGCCTTGGTGGTTGTTTTACATCACATGTAAAATGAGAATTCAGGGACCCTCAAAAACAGATTTTAAATGGCTTTACCACTCACCTCCAAAAGAAGCAGCTTGGGGAGTAGACACTTGAAGAGAGGAATTTCTGAAATATTAAGAAGATTCTCCTTACGGGTTCACAGTTCCTCTTGTTTAACCGAATATGGCAAGCTCTGAATACTTGGAACATACTGGGCTCTTTACAGTGTCTGTTCACTGTTGTATATGTGTCTTTTGTTGTAGGGATGTTACTCTTTCCCTTAATGGACATTGCCTTCATCTTTACAGCATCTTTGTGGTCTATATTTGTAAATATACTGAAGTCTATTAGGTAACCTAGCTGAAAAGATTTCAGACTAGAGAATTTTTTTCCCTTCCAGTGCTGGAGATTGAACCTGGGGACATGCTAGGCAAGCGCTCTCTGCTGTACCCCTGGACCTGTGCTATGTGTGCACTTGACGTGTAGATCTAAAAGGGGGATCTGAATCTTGGAGTTGGCAAATGCTGTACTTGAAAAGCCCCTTTAGAGATTCCCTGCCTAGGTCTTGTACTGGACAGATGAAATGGCAATGCTTCATATTAGGGACGCAGCACCCTTAGCTAACTGAGTAAACACAGAAAGTCATTGCCTGTGCCCCAGTGAGGGTGTGGGGAGGGGAGCGCAAAAATAGCTCCATAGTGTTTCCTGCTAACTTTCCCCTCATCTCCTCCTCCCCCAATTCTTTTCTTTTCCTGGATAATTAGCGTTTTTTTTGTTTTTTATCAGATGGGATCCTTGAGCTGATTCCCAAATACAATTTAGTCTTGATTGGTTTTTATTGCCCTTGTGACACAGCATAGGAAGAGAAATGACAATTGAAGGCCTTTGGTCAGATTGGCCTGTGAGCATGTCTGTGAGAGATTACTTTGGTTGATGATTGATGTGGAAGGTCCAGTCCACTGTGGGTGGCACCATCCCTAGGTTGATGGGCCTGGGCTGTTTAAGAAAGTTAAGTGGAGAGAACCAGAGAGCGATTCACACACAGGTAGTGTTCTTCATGGCTTCTGCTTGGTTCCTGCATTTTCCTTCCCTAAATCAATTGTCCCCTGTCCAACCTGTATCAAACTGGAGCAAGGGTTATATACCTGATGGGAAAGGTGAGCCACATGGTTGTCTAAGTTGGGATGCCAAGGATGCCTCAGAAATAGGAATCACAGTGCTCACAGATGGGCCTGGTTTCTCAGTGTAGATTGCCCAAGTCAGCCTCTTGAGAATGCGTGTGTGAAATGTCATGGGCTCTGAGAGGTGTGTCAGGGTGAGGGACACTGACAGTCGGGCTCTCTAATTGCTTTCCTTCCGTGTTGTATTTCATCTGCAGGGTGCAAATAGCTACGGGCAGCTTGGCCTTGGCCACAGGGAAGATGTGCTTCTGCCCCAGCAACTGAGCAACTTCTGTGAGCCTGGGTGTATCAAGAGTGTCACAGGAGGAGGGGGCCATTCTGCAGCTGTCACAGGTAGTTCCCTTCACAAATGGATAGCCACTTACTTTTGTATTGAGGTATTTTCCCTTGGATGTCATCTTGTCATCTTTTAGTCTTTTGTATTTGTCAGAGAGCAAGGTTTGTTTTTGTGAAAGAGCCAAATAACCATTAAGGGAACTCTGTTTTATCAGAGCTTGGAATTTTGAGTTCTTTAAGCTCCCTTTCCCTGCCCTCTTATACAAATAAGACTTAAGGTCATAGTCAAGTTGGTGGACATGTTACAACCTGTTTAAGCTTTACTTGGAAGCCTTTGCAACTAAGTGGACTTTCCCTTGAGATCAGGAGCCTTTCCTTGGCCTTAATTTTCCATCCTAGTGCTCAGAGGGTACCAGGTGCCCCCCATGCTTCGGCTTAGCCAAGGCTGGCATTTGTGTGGCATCTGGTTAGGAATGGGAGCTGTGGCTCAAACTCCCTGCGTTCACACACTCATTGTGTCGTTCATCAGCTCTGCAGCTCTGGCAGAGTCTCCCTTTATGGCCGAGTTCTACTCTGACTTCTGGTGCAGTGATAAAGTGCCTGACCAAAAGCATCGGAGGGGAAAAGGGTCTACTTGACTTGATATACGAGGACACACTTCATTGTCGGGAGGAGTCAAGGCTGGAACTTAAAGCGCGGAGGGAAAGAAAGGCATCATCCTTGCCTGCCTGCTGCTTGTACTCGGCCAGCTTTCTTCTCTCTAACACAGTTAAGGGCCCAGCCCATGAAATGGTGTTCCCACATTCAGACTGGGTTTCCCATCTCAATTAATAACCGGGACAGGCCGGTTGTTGGTGGCACACGCCTTTAATCCCAGCATTCGGGAGGCAGAGGCAGGCGGATCTCTGTGAGTTCGAGGCCATCCTGGTCTACAAAGCGAGTTCCAGGACAGCCTCCAAAACAATACAGAGAAACCCTGTCTCGAAAAAACCAAAAATAAAAAATAAAAATAAAAATAACCGGGACAGTCCCATAGACATGTTCACTTGTCAACCAGGTCTAGATAATTTCTTATTAAGACTCCTTCCTGGGGATTGTAGGTTGTCGATTGATAGTAAAAGCTAACTAGCACACTCAATTTTCTCTTCTCCTGTCCCATGGGGATAATAAAAGCAGATAAACTCAGGGTATTTTCAGGACTGTTTTAGGACTTTTACAGGTCTTTGGTGTTCCTGTCATCATGGATTCTTCCCTCCTTTTGTAAAGAAATGTTAAAAGTTGTATTTTGCATCTGTACTGATATAAAGTAATTATACTCAATAATGGCTTTTGAATTATGTATGAATTATTGTTACATTAAAACAATTTAAAATTAAGCCATTCGTATGGGCCTTTCAAAGTATTATGGATATGTGTGGAAAGGCCTCCCACGTTCAGCTCTTAGGATAGCTCCTGGCACATTCTAAATATTGAGCTGGTGTTGGTTTCCTATGATCATAGATGCTCCATTTGGTGATTGATTGGCACTTGTTAGAGAACTGGAAGTTTCCATTTATACATTAGATTTGAGACCCTGGGCCTGATGTCTTTGGTTCGACAACACATTAGCATGCATCAGTTAATAACATTAACATGGGCAAGAAGCCCGTGTCCATGGCTCCAAATAATGCATGGTAATTTTTTCTTTTGGAGTTGTGACTGTCCCTGTGCACTCTGGCACTGGAATGTTGTTTTAACTTTGGTGCAATGGCTGTGCCTTAATCTACTGCTATTTCAGTCACTGGCCTGCTCAGCCTGGTGGGAATTCTGTTCCTGCAGGCACCGGGTCTGTCACTGCTGCTAAAGGTAGCTTTAACTAAATCTCTATGGTTCTACTTATAAATAAGACTCAAGATTCAAAGGCTGGGGTGAAAACCTATGTGCTCAAAGAGGTGGAGTAGGATCTAGCTAACCCTCTCACCATGTCTGCATCTCTAAAGAGAGCACCCTTCCACTCAGCCATAGCATAAAACGCTGCACCACTCCAAATTCCTGACTTCTCTTTATCTCTTGTGATGCCCTCTGATGCTCTGTGATTACTTTCTGTCAACTAGTTGCTAACTCAGCTCCTGACCCAAGGTTAATTTTACTAAATTAATGCAAATGCAAACTCAGGGTTCACAGTGTGATGGGATACCCAACAGAGCTTTCTGTTTTGCAGATGGAGGAAGTCTTTTTGTTTGTGGCCTGAATAAAGATGGGCAGCTGGGGCTTGGTCACACAGAAGATGTTCTGTGTTTTACCATCTGCAAGCCTCTCCTTGGTTGTCCAATCCTACAGGTTGCCTGTGGCTGGGATTTTACTATCATGCTCACAGGTAAGTTCACTCTTGGGTGGAAATCACCATCAACACTTTGGGTGATAGCAGTGTAGTGGGGGCCCTGGTTAAATAGAAGCCTCTGTGCTTTTGAAGAAAAACAAAACATCCCCAAACCCATAAGTGTTCTCTATGACTATGTAGGGAAATTACAGGGTACCTGTTACAAGGAGAATTTTAACTATAAAGGAGATCAGACTGGAATCTGTTTGTCAGAGACTAGGGGATGGATTAGGTCTCCTTAGGTGGTCATTGCTAGTCCCAGAAGTTCATTAGAGCTATGCTCCTGGTCAAGCTGACCAGGAGTGCCATTAAGGGTTATTATGGACAGTGTGCTAGATGTCTTAGTTAGCGTTTCTAGTGCTGTGATGAAACAGCGTGACCAAAAGCAACTTGGGGAGGGAGGGGTTAATTTGACTTCTGCTTCCACTCACTGTTCATCACTAAAGGAAATCAGGAAGGAACTCAAGCAGGGCAGGAGCTTGGAGTGAGGAGTAAGAGGCCATGGAGGAGTGCTGCTTACTGGCATGGTCCCCATGGCTTGCTTAGTCTGCTTTCGTCCAGAGCCCAGAGATGACATCACCCACAATGGGCTGGGCCCTCTCCCATCAATCACTGATTAGGAAAATGCTCTGTAGCCCGATCTTGTAGAAGCATCTTCTCAACTGAGGCTCTCTCCTCTCCATGACTCTAGCTTGTGTCAAGTTGAGGTAAAGATGGCTAGCACTAGATAATTATGAGGGAGTAGGGATCTCACCACAATAGGTGCAGGTCTTTCCTGCCAAGGGACTTTCATGGTGACATTCCTGAGGATTACACCCAGGGCTTCACATGTGCTAGGTATGGGCTCTACCACTGCATTATTCCTCTGTCTCCCTTTAAAAACATCTGGTCTCCGTGAAGACAGGTAACAGAGTGAGATATGGCTAAAGAGTTATTAGAATAATTCTTTTGGAAGCAGCAGATATTGTTACCCTGTTAATTGATTTCTCTGTCCAACTTAGTCCTTTCTAGCTGGCCAGTCTGGGTCTACAGGACCACCTGTAGTTTCTTGCTCTCAGTTCTTGTGGATTTTCAGATGTGTAGTGAAAGGTTTTTTTGCACATAACCTCTACAGAGGTTCCAGTGTCCGCTGCCTTCATTTTATGTGTCACACTCCCTGTGGCAATGCCCAGTGGTTCCTGCTCCAGAATAGCCCTTGTTGTCTGACTCATGAACTGTTGTCCCTATGTAAGCCTTCCTTAGCAGTTACCATTTCTCTTTTGCAGAGGAGTTCCATATGTAACCAGTTTGGCAGTAATTATCAGACTCCAGATGGGCTGGGGAGGCAGCTTGCTGAGCTTGTATGAGGCCCTGGCTAGATTAGCTCTGAAAAAAAAAAGTTCCTTACATATGAAGAATTTCAGGGTTAGCTATCACTTTGTGAAGTACTTGTTATGGGCCATGTTAGAGTCATAATAGGCAGAAGGAAGCACCATTTCCCAACACATTGCAGCCGGTTGTGAGAAAGGCACAAAGCAGTCAGAGTTGGAAATCAGATATCAGAGTTCTATGGATGTAGGTTAAGTTGGAAGACAGGGTTCATTGTGGAGCCAAGTGGTTCTAACATTCCTCTGGTCCAAACTTGCTCTCCAAACTCTAGACTTGTTTCACAGGGGAAACCCTCACCATTCCAGGCCACACCTGTCTTGTCCTTTTCCCTAGACTCGTCAGGTGAGATCATGAGGAAGGGCAGGGAGGATAAAGGCCACACTGCATGGAACTTGTCGAATGGCGACATGGGAAGTGAGGTGGAAACATGGAACGGGAGTGAGTATTTGCTCACTCCAGTGCTAGGCCCCGGGCTGAGTGTTTGCACGGGTCATCCACCATGAAGGGTACAGACGACGGGTAATCTTTACTGTGGAGGAATAAAAGCAGGGAAGTGGCCAGGAGGCTTTGAGGCACAGGGCCCCTGGTGCTTCCTCTTATCCCTGTTTCCCCATTAGCCACAGGTGTCTCACTTCTTAGATTTGTAATCTGAATACTTATGTTTTGCAGAAACAGGTCAAGTTCTGTCATGTGGATCCAATGCCTTTGGCCAATTAGGTGTGCCACACGGCCCTCGAAGATGTGTAGTCCCCCAGGCCATTGAGGTGAGGACATCCCAATTTTAGCTTGTTCTGTCTTCCTGTTTCTAGACTGTTCCATTTTTTCTCACCTACAGTGAAAGACTAGTAGGCCCTTGAAAGCCCAGGGAGTGGTAGAACTTGAATTGGAAATAAGTTCTTCTGCTAAAAATCAGAGGGGTCAGTGCTGGTAGAAAAATCTGTCTTCATGCATGTTATAAGATTTTATAAGCTAGGACAGTTAGTAATGCATCTTATAAGCTTGTTGCTACTAATGGGGACTGAGTCTATGGCTGTACCACCCTGATGTGCCCGATCTTGTCTAATAATGGGAACTGTGTTGCAAACCGGTCCGAATGTGATTTGCCTCAAGACACTGAGTCTGGGGTCTGGGAAGATGGACAGTGAGTAGAGCACTTGCTGTGCAGTCTTGAAGACTTGAGTGTGGCTCACCAGAATCCATTTACATCTGGGTGTATTAGCACAAGTCTGTAATCTCAGTGCTCCAGTGGAAGGATGGGGAGTTAAGAGGAGTCTGCCTCGGAGCTCCCAGGCCAGCTAGCCTGGCATATGAGATGGTGAACAGCAAAGTGGAAGGGGTAGACCAGCCCTGAAGGTGCCCTCTGACCTCCTCCTGCATGTGATGGTGTATGCCTGCATTCATGGACATATGTATGTACACACACACAAAAGACAGGAGATTCAGAAAATGGTAGTCAAGTGCTATTCTGCAGAAATATCATATGATTGAAAATTTTCTAAAAGCCCCATTTAAAAACAAGTAAGCTGAGATTAGTTTTTAAATAACTTTATTGAGATATGGTTCAGATAACATTGAATTCATCCCTTTGAAATATATACTTCACTGTTTTTCAGTGTGTTCTTAGGGGTAGCTGCCATTGTCATTATTGAATTCTAGAACATTTGCATCATGGCAAAAGGAACTCTACATTCAATACTAGTGGCTTCCTGTCTTCCATCCTCCAGCCTCTGGTAGCTGCTAGTGTACCTTCACTATGGATTTATGTGTTCTAGCCATTTCAGACAAATGTAATTGTACATATGTCGTTTTGTGTGTCTCTCTTTTTTTTTTTTGGTTTTTACGGGACAGGGTTTCTCTGTTTTGGAGGCTATCGGTCCAGCCTGGCCTCGAACTCACAGAGATCCGCCTGCCTCTGCCTCCCGAGTGCTGGGATTAAGGGCGTGCGCCACCACCGCCCGGCTTCATGTACTACTTTTAAGTTTTATGTGTGCAACATGTAGTGTATGTATATGATATACACAGACATGTACTAATTATATACTATACATTTACTAATATATATGTGATTTTAATGACATTTAAAAACGATTTATTTATTTTTATTTTATTTATATGTATGTTTGCATGTGTGTGTGTCTGTGTACTGTGAAGGCCAGAACAAGGTATTAGATACTGGTACTGGAGTTACAGATAGTTGGGAGCTTCCATGTGGGTGCTGGGAATTGAACCCAGGTCCTCTTGAAGCACAGCCAGGGCTTCTGACCTCTGAGCCACCTCTCCAGCCCCTTGACCTTTTTTTTTAAAGTATAGAGTCTCATGTAGCCCAGGCTGCCCTCAGATATGTTATAACTGAGGCTGGACTTGCACTCCTGGCCTTTCTGCCTCCACCTCCCATGACTTCTGTAACAGATTCATCACCACACCCAGCCTAGCTTTAGAAACTTGAAAGCTAACTTAATCTGTCTAACCTATTGTTGTTTGTATAAACATAGATGTAGCATTTGTGAGTTAGGTGGTCCCTTCTTTTGTACTGAGGTTCTGATGGCTGTGCATGTTTTACTTACTCTTTGAAGCTAATGACATGCCAGTGTTCAGTGTCTACGTGTAGCAGTGGCCATGGTACAGAGTGGGTGGGAAGCAGAACTTTTGGCTTTTTTTTTTAGACTTTTTTAATTGACTTTGTGGATTTCACATCATGCATCCAGATCCCATTCATCTCCTTGTCCTTTTATATCCATCCTCTGTCCTTGTAACCTCCCCCACAAAATAACATAAAATTTAAAAGAAAATTAAAAAAACAGCAAAATAAAGCCAAAACCAACAAACATACAAACATACCCTCTAGTTCCTACATCTTTACTTGTAAGTGTTCATTGCAATGAGTCGTTGGTCTGGTTTGAGGCCTCTGGCTTCTACTACATCACTGGTAATGGGTTCTCACTGGGGCTCCTCTTGGATATCCTGTTGTCGCCCCAGATTACAGAGGCCCCTTGACATGCTCCAGCAGTTCACAGATGAGGTGGATGTTGGGGTGGGTTGACTCATAGTCCTGGCTCTGGGCATGGATGGTAGCTGGGTTGGTCAGCCCACCAACTTTCCCCCTTCAGGCAGCCAGGAGCAGGGGCAGGGCCAGTTCTGCTCTCATACACTTAGGGCCGGCTCACCTGTACCCACACCACCAGGGCCAGCTCTACTGTTTTGCCTAGAAGAGGTGCAGGGCCTAGACTCTTGGCTTTTGTTTAGTTTTCATGACATCCCACATTACAGGGTTGCGAAGTTTACGTGTGCTTTACTTTGGTTTCTGTTGCTGTGATTAGCATCATGATGAAAAACAACTTAGGGAAGGAAGGGCTTGTTTCATCTCACGACTCTCAGGTCACACTCCATCACCCTGAGCGAGGTCAAGGTAGGAACTTACAGCACGGACCCGGTGGCAGGAGCTGACGCAGAGACCTGGAGGATCTGCTTAAGGGCTTGCATTCAGCTTCATGTGCAGTTGCCTTTCTCCTACCTCCCTGGAGTGGTCCAGGAGTGGCGCCGCTTGCAGTTGGCTGGGTCCTCCCACATCAGTTAATCAAGAAAATGTCCTGCAGACTTGTCTACAGGCCAGTCCTACCAAGTCATTCTCTCAACTATGATTCCCCCTTCCTATATGATCCTAGTTTGTATCAAGTGGGAATAAAAAAATAAAAGCATAATATTGCAAATGGTCCTGATGGGAATAGGAAAAAATCCAGGGGTTACACTGAAATCAACAGTGAGTTTCCCTGCCTCAAGTTCCATCTGACTTCTCAACTTCCCACTGCCACCTAATCCCTAATCTCTGATAGGAGTGGGAGACACCTTTTCATTGCAGCGTGCAGCTGTGCTCCTGTCACCTCGTGGATTTCAGTTGCTGCCCTGCGGTCTGCTGTTTCAGAATAATGGTTCCCAAGGCCTACCCACAAGCCGAGTTCCACAGAGTTCTGGGTCCCCTCTGTAACTCCCCGGAGCAAATAGGTGGCCTTGTAAGAACCTACATATGTTATAATTAATCTATCTTAATTATAGTTGATATAATTAAAGAAGACAGGAAGGGACAATGGTTAAAATATGCTGGATGACAGAGTTAGTAACTAAGAACATTTTGATGGCCTGTCTCCCATGTGACAATAGGCGGGATATACCAGAGTGAGAATTGATGGAGACTCTCCGTCCGTGGATGGCAGCTGCCAAGTATGGCACTGGATTTAGGTAGTGAGGACACTGGTGGTGAACACCTGTCTTAGCACCTGAGAGATTTATGATTTAGGGGCACATGGTAAATACATGCAGCACCATTGTCATGCTAGGATCATGATAGATGCTCATATAGTCCCAAGGAAGGAGGATTGGACTCTTAGCTAGCAGGAAATTCACCTAAGTCTTACAGTTGAGTTAGAACTTTCCCTGGCTTAGGATAACAGGATGCAGAACAGGTGCCAAAGAACATTCTAGGCCAAAGGAGCAGTGTGGAAGTCTATATGGAAGAATAGATAAGACAGGCATTTGGGATGCTGTCAGCAGGTGGTCAGGCTGGAATATGGGGAAAAGTGGGTGTACCGGAATGGAGTTGGGACCCATGGGTAGTAGAATAGCACACAAGATAAGAACGTAGAGAGTTGGGCCTGGCCTGTTAGTTATTTTTATAAAAAAGGAAGGTAGGAAAGAAGATGTGTTTAAAGAACCATCTATTCAAACTGTATTAGCAGTCAGATTCTATTATGCCTGAAGCTAAGGTGATTGGGGACACCAATGTCAGAAGTATCGGTTTCCTGAAGGAAGATCAGAGCCTTACTCTCTAAGCCAGTCATACTGTTCTGGTGTGATGGATTCTTTTGTGTGTGTGCACAGGCTCTAGGCATACTGGTCCTTAGGACTTATTCTCAGGCTTTACACTCTTCCTTGAAAAGACAGTGACTGAGGGCCAGGGACATAACTCAGCATGCAGGAAGCCCTAGGTTTAATCTCCAGCACTGCCTAAACTAGACATGGTGGTGCATACATTTAATCCCAGCACTTGGGAGGCAGAGGCAGGAAGATCAGAAGTTCAAAGTTACCCTTGGCTACATAGCACGTTTGAGGCCAGCCTGGGATATGAGGCCACAGAGGGAGGAGGAATCCAGAACACATCCAGAGGGAGGGAAACTCAGTGATAGCTGCTGCAGCTGGGTTGTTTCTAAATAGTTCATTAGTTGTCTGCTGTAGTGTGACATTAGCTAAAGCAAGCATCATCCCATCATTTGTGAGGGTCTGGACTGGTGCCTCTGAGCTGGTCTTTCACAGAGCAGCAGTGAAGACATAGCTAGGTCTGTACACACCTCCACGGGCTGAACTGGGGTACCCACTGCCAAGCTCTTACAGTGGTCTGCCGGGAGCCACAGTTCCCTGCTATGCGCCCCTTTCTGTACCTGTTCAGACCTGGCAGCTGGCTTTCTTAAGAGACCTCAGTGCCTTTCATCACCCTGCCTCTGACTCACTCTGCTCCTTTATTCTTTTCACTAGAAGTGTGTCACTAAGTCCAGCCCACACAGGGGAGGGGAATCAAGCTCTGTGACTTGAAGGGAGTAGTATCAAAGAATTTGAGGACCTATTTTTAAAACTGCCATGTGATGTATTAGAGAGGACATGACAACTGTCTTCAAATATTTGGAAAGCTTTGTCAGGAGCTAAAGGCAGCTGGGTTCGGCTCCACCTAAAGAGATCCTTGGAGACATATGTACAAGGATGGAGCAGGTGCCTAGGGAGGTGCTGAGCCTGGTGTTACTAGAGGCGGGGACTGGACAGGGCTTCAGTGGCCATAAAGGAAGAGCTAACCTTGGCTAGGGCTCGGACTGGGTCAGGAGGGAATACCAACGCCCTTGCTATTGACGTCTTATTGGAGCACAGCCATGGTTTCTCATATGTAACTGTTTGATGTTACAGAGCTGAGCTGTGCAGCAGTAACCATATGGTATTTGGCTGTTTTGGGGAAATGTTTTCTGGAGACTTTGGAGGTCCCCACCCCCCTATCCTTGAGAGGTAGTGCAGTGTGGTACTATGATGTGATATTTTTAAATTTTACTTTTCAGGCCTGGGAAGATGACTTAATGATAAGAGTGCTTGTTATACAAGTATGAAGGCTTGGTTTTGAATCTTCAGAACTCATGCAGGAAAAAAAAGTCACAGCTGGGGCTGGAGAGATGTCTCAGTTTTAAGATTAAGTTCACAGCATCCATGTGGTACTCACGACCATCTGTAACTCTAGTTCCATGGGACCTGATATCCTCTTCTGACCGTCACAGGCGCTGGGCATGCATGCAGCACACATATATACATTCAGGAAAAGCAGTCACACAGAGAGAAACTGGGGGAAAAAGAAGCTAGGGATGGCTGTGTATACCTGTAGCTCTAGCACTGAGGGAGTCACCCAGCCTAGTTGAAACAGGGAGCTTCCAGGTCAGTGAGAGACCTGCTTCAAGGTAATAAGGTGATAGCAGAGGACACCCAGTGTCTTCCTGTGGCCTCCTTATGTACCCATACACTCATGTGCATGCAACACACACACACACACACACACACACACACACACACGTGCATGCAACACACTCATGTATAGGGAATACACACCTACTCATGTGTAGGCAACACATAAACACACACACTTTCATCTATCGATAAACATAGACACATTTCTTGGTGAGCGTATTGAATGGGGATGCTTCAGGCTACTGCATTGAGTTTGCACATGAGTTACACGAGATTTTGCAGAAGGATCTGAGATTAAATCTTGTTCTTTCTTTGCACAGCTCCTGAGAGAGAAGGTTGTTTGTGTCGCCGCTGGACTGAGGCATGCGTTAGCCACTACAGGTGACCACTCAGCCTTTATTTCCTGAGTGAGCCCATTCTGAGCAATAAAGCTACAGGAGGAAAACTTTGTAAGGAGTTTTACAAAGTCTGTGGCTCTGACTGAAAAGAAAGATCATGAGAGTCTTTAGCCAGCGGGAGGAAGGAAGTGAGCGAGCTGTCTGGCTCTCTTTGTTGTAGATGTGCTGCTGGGGTTTTCACAGTTTGATCTTCTCGTTTAGTCCTCACAGCCAAGGAGTGGTGTGAGGTAAAATCTTACCCATCGAGAGTTTGTGGAAGCGCTTGTGAGTGAGGCAGGCAGAGCTAGAGATCACCAGTGTAGACTTTGCAGTCAGCTGTGTTGCCTTCCTGCTGGATTCTAATGGTTGTTGAACGAAAAGCTTTAAGTGAGCTGTCTTCTGTACATAAGTGGGCGGCATATGTGTGGGGGGGGCGCTGGTGGAGGGCAGGTGGCATCAAGGTAAATAAGACTCTGGCCCTGGTTTGAAGGTCCTAAATTTTAGAAAACAATTGATACATAGCTAGGTCCTTTTACGAAGAGGGGTAAGGTGGGGAGATGGGTAAGTAGATACTATGATTGCCTTGAAAGCGTGAGGCTCTGAGTTCAAATCTCTGGAACCCATGTAAAAAGCTGGGCATGGTGATGTGCACCTGTAATGCCAGCAATGGTGGGGTGAGAAGGGAGGCAGGCATGCCCTGGAGGTCGCTGGCAAGCTGGCCTAATCCACTTGATGAAGTGTCAGACATTCAATGAGAGACCTTATCTCAGTTATAGGGGAAGATATTTGAGGACCACCACCAAGGCTGAACCCTGACCTTTACACGTACCTGCCCGCACGTGCACACATACGTATATATGTGAGGGAACACATGCTCGGGAGAGAGAGGAGAGAGAAGCGAGGGCGTACTCAGGAGGGACGCTCAAGGACGGGTGGGGAGCTTCACCCTTCAGTGTCTTCCAGTCTTGATTTCTGCACATGCTCCTCTTGGGCTGTGTCTCAGTGTTCAGTTCCTATGGCTGCCAACTCTCCCTGCTGTGAGCCCAGATGTGGGCGGGTGAGGACAGACCAGGAGAGGCAGGGAGGAGGCAGGAAGCCCTATGCTGGTCAACTCCTGAGGCTTCCTGCTGCTTAGACATTATCTTACAGTGAGACATTGACCCAGCAGTTAACAGCACCAACTGCTCTTCCAGAACCCACATGACAGCTCATATTAGTCTGTAACTCCAGTACCAGGAGATCCGACCCTCTTTTCTGGCCTTCATGGACACCAGGCATGCATGTGGAGAACAGACAAAACATTCATACTCATACAGGTTTTTAAAAAGTGAAATCTTGTGTTTCGAGAGAATTAGAGAGCCACGTGAAATTGCTAAAAAGAAAATAGAGCCCAGGAGTATTTTCCCACGTCCCGCAGTGGCGACACCTTTCAGAACAGACAGTGCAGCGGCTCACCCGGGATGTTGATGCTGGTACAGTGAGGATGCAGAGGAGTGTATCACCACTGCTCCTGCGGGTGTTGATGCCCGCACTCACTTCCTGCTGCTTCAGCCCTCTCTGAGCCCTAGACAACTGTTCCTTCCCTGTGTCTGTGATGTCACCTCGGAAATGCTCTCGGATTCTCCCATACAGTGTGTGACCTTTAGGGGTCTCTCTTAACCATGTGTATCCGAAGCTCACTGCTCTGTGATGAGCAGCACGGTGTGGATGGGGAATGGATTAGCCTGCGAGAGCTGTTGTAACAAAGGACTACAGCCCAGACGGCTTCAATAACATCCACTCATTCCCTCACTGCTCTAGAGGCTAAAACCCAGGATGCGTGTCAGTAGAATTGTTTCTGGTGACACTGTTTCCTTGGCTTGTAGATATCCCTTCTCAATGTCCTCCCAGGCTTTTCCTCTGCATATGTGCAAAGGGAGCTCTCATGACTCACCCATACGGATGCTGGTCCTATTGAACTAACCCACTTCCCACAGGCACCTTTCACCTTTCCTAACCTCTGTAATGCCCTGTTCCCAGACAAAGCCACACTGGAAATGAGGTACTCCACACATAGATGTTGTGGGGTGGGTCACAGTACAGTCTGCAACAGCCAGTTTAACTAGTTACACTGAGAAATGTCTGGCTTCTTTCTAGTTTTGGCCTATTTGCAATAACCTATAAATATCCGTGGACAGGTTTTTGTATGAATGTAGGTATCATTTCTCTGGGTTAAGGAGTGTGACTGCTGAGCTGTGTGTCAGTGACTACTCATTTATAGACAGGCCGTCTTCTTAGAAATCGGCAGTAGGGCTAGAGAGAGGGCTCAGTGGACCAAGGGCTTGCTGCACTAGTGTAAGGACCTAAGTTCAGATCCTCAGTACCCTTCTGAAGCAAGACATGGTTGTGTGTGTCTGTAGGGTGAGGTGGGCAGAATCCCCAGAAGCTCACAGGCCGGTGAGCCTTGTGTATGCAGCCAGCAAACAAAAGACCCTGTCTCAAGTAAGGCGGGAAGGGAGGGTCATAGTTTGAGGCTGCTCCCCCACCACACCCCTATAATTCTTCATGTAGTATGTAGAATGGTTCGGTTGCTATGGAAAGCAGTATGGGAGTGCCATGTAACTAACTGCAGCTATTGTCTTTTTAGGTGAGTATCACAATATAGCCCTTGCTAGCCTAAAACTCACTATGTAGACCAGGCTGACCTTGAACTCACAGAGATCCTCTGAGTGTTACTGTGCCGAGGATCCTATGCCTTCTGAGTGCTGGGATTAAAGACGTGTGCCACCACACCCAGCTTGACAAATAAATTTTATAAAGGGAAAAAGGAGGGAGAGGCAAAGAGATCACCTGTCTATAGAGTGAAAGACACCGTTATAACTGGCATTATTCACAGCAGCTGAAACAAGCAGCTCCCCAGGTGAATGAGCAAGCAAGATGTGGCACACGCATGTGCACACACATGTGTCCCCACCCATGGAGTAATACGTACAGAACTCTTGATAGGCTCCTCCATAGATGAACATGACACTGAGTGGCATAAGCCAATCATAGAAAGCACAGATGCTGACATTCCATTAATATGGGTAGTCAAAACTAGAGACACTGAATGGCAGTCCCAGGGCACGGGACCAGGGATGGGGAGTGACTAGGTATAGTCTGCTTCAGTGTTGCAGGATGAAGCAGTTTTGGAGCTGGAAGGATAATGGCCTCACACCCTGGTGATTGTATCAGTGCCCCTGGTTAGACACTTAAAATGGTGAAGGTGATAACATTTTGCACTGTACATATTTTGTAATAAAATATTTGAAAGAGGAGCTAGAGGGGTTACTCACTGGTTAGGAGCACTGACTGCTCTTGTAGAAGACCTAACATGATGGCTCACGGTGGTCTGTAACTCCAGGTCCAGGGGAACTGACATCCTCTTTTGGCCTCTGCAGGTCCAGGCACACATGGGGTACACAGTTAGACACGAAGGCCAAACATTCATAAAATAAAAACAAGTATCTGAGGAAATTTTCAAGGGAATAACCCATTATTTGAGACATCATTGACGTATCAACCAGTTGTATGCTGGGAAGCTTTTGCCCTTGGAATTTATCTGCTGGTTGTCGTCCTGGTTTATTGCAGGTCTCTCCTGTACTGTGTTGTTCTCAGAGGTCTTAGCTGCTGCTTCATAAAGCAGGCTTGTGCTGTTACAATCTGAGAGTGCTGGCTGTAGAATGGCCCAGAGGAGCAGACCTTGATGTTGGTGTTAGCTGGTGGATCCGTCCTGTGCACATCTGACTGTCTGCCAAGTGCATAGCCTTTTATCTGTGTGCGTCTATAGAGCTTGGATGTGGACACATTCTACTGAAATGATGGCTGCCATACTGTCTTGTAGTCACAGATACACACATATTTGACAATAGAGACCCTGAATTCACCTTGGCGTGTAGAAAGGCACTACCTTGAGTATCACCTGAACCCCAGTGTTTTCTCTACTACCGAGTCCCCATGCGACCTTGGCCAAATCACAGTTTCTTCTGGACCATGGTTTTCTCATCTCGTAAATGTAAAGTGTGGACCTGGTGGTCTTTATGGTTCATTTCAGCTTAGCCATGAGCAGGGTAGTGTTCTGGAATTAACTGTGGGGCAGTGCCTGGGACTTTCTATAGGAAATTTTACTCCATTGGAATTTTCTCTCATAGTCTTAGGTTGTCCAAAAAAGCAATCTAAGTAATCCCTTTAGTTGGTCGCAGGCCCTTGAAGCAGCCAAGCCCCTGTGTAGTGTTCACATTGGCTGAAGTTGTGTTGGGAATTTCCTACAGTGGTGAGGGTCAAACAGCAGTCTGGTCTAATCTAGACATATATTTTCTGTTTTCCTTTTGGCTCTGCTGGGAAGTGAGTGGCAGCGTGTTCCAGTGGGGCACTGGCTTGGCATCTTCTGGCCGACGCTTGTGTCCTGGGCAGACTCTTCCATTGTTTTTGACAGCCAAGGAACCAAGCAGAGTGACAGGTAAGCTCCTCATTTCCTCATAGTCTTTGGTTACTTTGTGAGAAAGTAAATAGACCTTCAGAAAATGGGTGAGTGGAGTTTCTCTCTCTCTCTCTCTCTCTCTCTCTCTCTCTCTCTCTCTCTCTCTCTCTCTCTCTCTCTCTCTCTCTCTCTCTCTCGTTATTTTTCTAACTCTGTCTTTTAGTTGAGATGCAAGTCTTTTTGTGACTTTTGTGGCCCCAGTAAAAGTCACCATCTTTGCTACCAGAGCCTGGGACCTATTGATCGATAGATGAATGCCAGGCAGGTAGGTAGAGATCAATGAGAAGTTCCAGAATGGATCTCCTTGGAAGAGATGATTAGGAATTTAGAAACAGGATGTAGTAATATAGGGACTCTGCAAGTTACCCACAAGGCAACTGGGTGATGGCACAGAATCAGCCATGCTGAGTCTCCTGCATGGCCAAGGGGACAGGAATGACGTCTTAGTGCAGGTAGTCACACTCCAGAGAGAAGCCTCTGTGCCATTTCCCTCTCCTATAAGGGAAGGGGAATGTGTGAGGATGTAGGGGACAGGCGTGGGGTGTCTCCACAGTAGGTAATTTGCATTCTGCTGGGGGGTCTTCTGTTGGTGACTTGACCGATAGTTGCCACCTCTTCTTTTCTTTCCTTTGTCCCCTGCTCTTAGGTCCTCTTCAGCTCTGCTCTCCTCTCTCTTCGGACCTTTCTGTCTTCGTGTGTGGCGCCGTGTCTATCTCCTCTCTTCTCTATAACTCTTAGTTTTGGGCCCAGGTCACCGAGGGTTGGCTGTAGGAAAGCCCTGTGCAGGAGACCTCTACATACTTACTCCCTCCGAACTCCAGATAAAAGTGACTGGAGAGTGCTGGGAAGAGGTGGGGACAGAATAGGGACTGCAGTGGTAGCGAGGCACAAACACACACTGGGATCATTCTGGATTTGTGTGGGTATGTGTGTATGCATGTACATGTATGTACAAGTATGCATGTACGTGTGGAGGCCCGAGGACAGCCTTGGCTGTTGTTCCTCTGGCACTGTCCACTTGGCTTTAAGAAGGAGGGTCTTTTACATGGCGGGGGCTCCCTGAGTAGCTCACCTGCTCCACCTGCTAACACTGGGCTTGTAAGTGTGCTACCATGTCTGCCTCAAAAAGGCTTTAAGATCACACTGTTTCTTGGGGTGTGTGTGTGTGTATGTGTGTGTGTGTGTGTGTGTGTATGTGTGTGTGTGTATGTGTGTGTGTGTATCTCATAGGACTCACTTTCCTGACCTTTACCTCAGCATATTACCTGCTACTGCCCCGTACCTTTAGACAGACTCTCAGCTCTGCTGGAAAAGCCTTTCCTTCCTCTTTGTCTGGAAAAACTCTGGGGTTTCCTCAAGGGTCTGGCTTAGATGTGGCTCTCGGGGAAGACTCCCCGTCTGTTCTCCATTGCCTTCTCTTTGTGGATAGCACCATTTTGCCTCAAGTGTGAATGGCTACCATTTTTCTCCTATGCCAAGGGGAAAAGTGGAGTGTTGTCTGTATTTCAGTACAGGGCCAGTAACTAGATGGCATAATAAAACACTCACTTAACAGCCAGTTTGGGATCTGCCTGGAACGAAAGCTCCAAGTTGTCTGGGGAGTTTTCTGATGGGTTTGAACGACTCGTCAGTTTTCTGTCCTCATAGCTTGCCATTTTGTATTCTCCCATCTTTACTTTGCTACCCAGGTACCCCTAAGGCCCACGTCTGCTTGCTGGTAGGCTTGGCTGGTTACGTCTGCTTTGCCCCACAGAACACTTGAAGATGTGAAATGCCTTTTAGTTAGATAGTAAAACAGAAGTTTCCAGATACAATTGCAGACTAGGGCTGTGTTTTTCTGCCGGTTAGACCATAAGTTACCACAGGCTGTCCCAACTCCTGACAGGATGGGTTGGGATTCCGCCATATTGGCGAAGGCAGTGTAACTCAGGGAGGTAAAGTGCTGGACTTGGAGGTCAGAAGCAGCTCAGAGAGTTCTGCTGTGTGTTTTGAGGAGGCCTGGCTTGTGGTTTAGTTGTGCACACAATGGGAGCTAAAGGTTTGAGTTCCTTTACCTTCAGTCTTCTTCAGCAGGCAGAGCTGGGAAACATGTACACATTTCACATGCATTTTCTCATGGCTATGCGTCTGTTTCTGTCTGTCTCTCCAGTCCAGTTCCAATTGATTATCGCATGGTTGCTCCAGCCTCCCTGCTGCTCATATCTGTACTTTCCTCTGTGGTAGTGAGGACTGTGGTACTTTATCCTCAATACATTGACTTGCCTGCACTGGGTGGGATTCTCTCCATCCCCAGGCAATGCTGGGCCCTAGGGTCCACTGCACATTCAGTGTGTTCTGACACAAATATAGCTTAAAACAAACACATTTCTTTTCCAGGCCTAGAGAATTCTACAGCAGTATGCGTTGTTGCGGGATCTGAGCACTCCGCCTCATTAACAGGTAGGTTCCAGCTCTTTAGAGCTGGGTGTGCCATTCAGATTACTGCATCCCATGGTCTGGAGTGAAGCTGAGACAGAGTCCGGGGAAGCTATAAATCATGGTACCATTCTTGCTATAATTTTAGGCAAATTACTTTATCTTTTGAGACTATCTCCACATTTGCAAAATACTTTATGGGTAGCTGTAAGAACTTAATTTGATAGGACATATAAAGCACTTACATTTTCTCAATTATATGGAGTGGAAATGATTATCTTTCTCTTGGGAGAATTGTGATAGGCAGATCATGAAATCAACAGTAAATTTATATATAGTTGTGTATTGCTCAGTGATGAGAGTATGTCAGTGCCTGAGCAACAAGGACGTACCGTCGTCTCCTGCACACCTATGCTGTGTGAGATGGGGACCATTGTGTGTGTGGCTCATTGTTGACCAATGTTAGAGAGCAAGTACTTGACCATATAGCATTTGTTTTGCTTTTGAGACAGAGTCTCACTCTGAAGCCTAGTCTGGGTTATTCACTATATAACCCATCTACTGAAACTCTCCTACACACACACACACACACACACACACACACACACACACACACACACACACACACCGGCCTTAGAACTCCTCATTCTTTACTTTCATCTCCCAAGCTCTAGGATTACGGGTATGCTCCACCATGCTCAGCTTTTACATTGTAGTTTTCTGACTCTTCATCAGTGCCAACCTAATGCAATATAAGTAATCCAGTGACCATTCTTCAGGAAGCCATGAATAATTCTCTCATGCAGGAAGGTCTTCCCTTTTCTTTGACTGGATTGTCCTGCTAGGGCAGGGTAGACTGCATCCTTTACCTCTGAGGGACTTCTCTTTGTTAGGCCTTTCACATAGAGTGAATGTCTTCCATTTTTAAGCAGTAAGTGGTGAGTCTCACACTGGCATGTTCAGTGTTTTGTATGGAAATTCATGTGTATACACACGTTTGTACACTCACAACCTCCAAACTCACATGGTCCAATTGAGCTGACAACTAACTGTTGGTGTTTATAGAATACCAGAGACCGTGAAAGTTTAAATACTTAACAAATTCTGAGCTGCTAGTAAACTCATGTTCATTGAGTCTAAAACAACTAACCAGCTGATAGGAGACATGGATTTGTAGCCTGCCTTTCACTTTGGTGGTTGGTGAAAGTGTTGTGTTGAATGCTGGCTCTGAGTGACTAGAAGCACCTGGTCCCCCTCTCCTCTAGAGATACAGGATTGCAGGTGCCTTGCTCAGACCAGGGCCAGTGATGGGGACAGCGTCCTTGTTGGAGTAGACTAAGAGACATTCATTTCATTATTGCCCTGATTGATTTGAGATGGCTGATGGCATACAAACTTAGAAGCTATTGGATTAGCTGCTAATGTCAAGTTTTAAAAAAGAACAAAAATATATGATTACTAAGTTTATTATTTCCTACATGGCCACTTTTTCTTGTGGTGCTTTTTATACACACTGGATTTTTTTTGTGGGACTATAATTTATATATGATATTCACCATTTTAAAGTGTCCATTTAATCATTTTTAGTATAGTCACAAAGTGAATTGGTTTTTGATATTTCGAAAGTGAGTTTAAAAGTTGTCAAGATTAATAGCCCTCTTTTCTCATCTTGCTCGGGCTGTTAACACATTGGATTTTGTTCCATGTTCTTTAGACCTCTTCTCTGGAGTCCTTGTAGGTTATGTAACCATTTGGCATTGCAGCAGAATTTAATTTTACCTGCTGCTGCAACAGGGTAACTGTCCCCATGTGGAAGACAGTCTGCCTTTGAAAAGGATGGTTTAGATATTCTGAGTCACGGAGGCTCCACACTCGTGGCGCCTCTGTGGCTCTCCAGCAACTACTGGGTTGATGTTACGTGGGGTGAGGGGTGTTGTCTCTGCTCTCATGTAAGGTATTCTTAGACCTGTGCACGATGAAGAAGGCCCAGGACATATCACAGACCTGCAGGATGTCAGTGTTTCAGGGCCACATGTGATGGGAACTGTGTAACTTAATATATCCTTGCCTTAGTGGTGAGGAAATGGTGGCATGGTGTGCTGTGTCCTGTGTCCCTCATCAAGTGAGTGATAGATGGAACTTGGAGACTGCTGAGCTATGACTGTAATGATCCTGCTTGACCTCTGATCAGGTTTGGGGACTGTGAGACCTCTGTAGGGCAAGCAGAGCTGTGAACTCCACAGGGAACTCACCAAATGAAACGGGCCCAGCTCCTCTGCCCGTTCACGGGCTGTGAGTCCTTGTTAGCCAGGTGATCCTAAAGAGTCACTTAACATTTCTCAGCCTTGATTAACTTATCTTTTGGGACAGTGCTGTGAACCATATTCCAAAATTTAAAAAAAATATGACTCAGGTAAAATTAATCTTATTAATACATTTTACTTAGAGTATCTACAATATTACTTAATATAATAAGAACATTAGTAATGTAGTATGCTTTTTTTTGTGACATCTCTGCAGTCTGTTGAGTATTTTCATGTGGGCCAGCCACACTTGAGGTGTTCTGTGGCTAGTGCTGTTGCCAAGTGCGTGTGTAGCCCGCCACACTGCCAGGACTGGGGAAGCTCACAGAGGACTCCAAAGAGCCTCACACTGGTATCTCCCAGGCTGAGTTACAGCCTTGGCTTCATTGTGTTTGGCTTTCACCTAAAACGGTCTTTGAACTTGAACGCCTTTTAGACAGACATGTGCTCTTTGGTTGCTACGGTCACCCACCAGTTGCTCTGGTCAACATGATGTCATTTGTATCTTCCACCCTTTAGGCCAGCAGCCTCCCTTCCACATTCAGCTGGTGAAAGCACGGTTTGGAGAGGAAGTGATTTGTCCAAGGTCAATCGCTAGTTAGGAGATCCAGGAATAGCAGCCAGAGTCACTTGACTCCGCATTGGCTTCCTCCTCCTGTTACATCACCGTGCCAGTTGCTTCTGCCTCTGTCACAGGATTACGGTGAGGCCCAGATGAACTCAGGGCCTGCACAAATGGGCAGTGGTAGCTCATTCTTTCCTGGTGGACAGCAAGTACAGTGCAACAATTTCATTTTTAAATTGTCTCCCATAGTCCAGGCTGGCCTTGAGCTAACTATGTAGCCAAGGATGACCATAAACTCCTAACCCTTCTGCTTCTACTTCTGAAGTTCTGGGATTGTAAGTGTGCACAACCACACCCAGCTCATGCAGTGCTGGGGGTTGTGTATTCTAGGCAAACACTGCCAACTGAAACACATCCCCAGCCGCCAAGTAGTGTATCTTCTAACCTATTAGCTTAAAAGCATTTCCTTCTTAACAAAAGGTAATGTAGGCTTATATTCAAAAAAACACAAAATGGGCTGATGAGATGGCTTAGTGAGTAAGAGCATTTTCTGTGCAAACATGAGGAGCTCAATTTGAATCTCAGCATCCACATAAAAAAGTGTGTTATGTCTACACCTATAACCCTGTCGTGTGTGGAGCAGAGACTTGGGGATTGCTGTGGCTTCCTGGTAGTCAGTTCCAGCTTCAGTGAGAGACTGCCTCAGAGGAGTAAGGTAGAAAGCAATAGAGCAGGACACCTGATGTTCTCTTTCAGGCTCTCTGCTCGTGGGTATATTCCTCCAATGTATACATATACCACCCCCCACAAATAAGTGTATACACACACACACACACACAACCAGAGACTCTATCTATCTGTCTATCTATCTATCTATCTATCTATCTATCTATCTATCTATCTATCTCTCTATCTATCTCTCTATGGAGAAATATGTCTTATATACACTAGGCCTTGCTTATGTACAGAATTTTGTAAGTTTTATGCTTGATTATGTTCTACATAAATTTCATGCTGTGCGTGGCCCCACTAAATCATGTGGTGTAAGTAGGAAACAATTCCTTTTTAGCCATTTCTTTTTCAGGATAGTCCCCACCCTTCTGGGTCATGTTCCTTACCTCCTGTCCCCCTCTGTTTCAGATACAGGAGAGCTGTTTGTCTGGGGCCGGAACAAGAATGGGCAGCTGGCTTCCCTGGCTGCGTTCGTCCTTCTGCCCCAGAGAATAGATGCATGTTGCTTTCAGGATGAAAAGGTCACTGCCATCTGGAGTGGCTGGACACATCTGGTTGCTCAGACAGGTGAGGGTGCCGCAGAAAGTTTGGGGTTAGTAAAAACAGTTGTCCAGACACTCATTAGTACTTGGGGTTAAAGATGGGTTAGGGGACTATAAGTACTGAAAAGTGAAGGTCCTGGTACCTCCTGCTATCAGCCAGATATGGCTTTTCTTCTCTGGATTGCACATACAAGGTTGGATTGGTGAGCTCATTCTGCTCCTAAGAGTCCTTGAGGTTTTGAGAGTGCATCCATGACAGCCAGCACAACCCAGAGGTTGATCCAGGTACTGGTGAGTCCTTGCCTGCCATGGTTAAAGAGGTGGCTTTATTTTTATTTCCACCTGATCTGAGTTAAAACAGTATCAGAAAGTATTGGTAAATTTTCAACGGAGTTGTAGCGAGTGTGGCATTCTGACTCTGAGGCACTGTGTGCACTGATTGAGCCCTAGTGTTCCTCAGAACCACACATGCTTGGCACTGCTGGGCATCTTCACCTTTCCTTGAGTCTCCATTGGCTTTTATCTCTCCCTTAGGTCAGGTCATTTTTACCACCATATTCCTTTCTTCTTGGACTTTGGTTTCCCATGACCTCTCACTCCTGCTGTTTGGCAGTCCCTGCTGATCTACAGTTTCTCAGACAGGTTGATATCATGTTAAGACCTTCTGAACTTCAGGGGTTCTCAGCAGTTCTCTGACCTTGCTAACTCCATCTCAGGCTCCCAAATACCTGCTGACTGCTTTTCTAGAAGTTTCCAGCTCTCATAGGTTTTCTTGTAGCTTCAGCTCTCCTTGGTAAGTCACACATGCTGCTTCGTGCGTTTGCACTCAGATTTGTGAGTACTCATGTCTGTGATGCTTTTCATTGACCTTTCCAGAGTATTACTGTCATTTTGAAATGGTGCCTGGCTAACGATGACAAAGAATAACCTCCATGTTGCCAGGACAAGGGATGCTCTCAGGAAAGTGTGTTGTCCGTTTGGAAGAGAGGAAAGTTGTTTCTTTTTTCAAAGAGCTTCAGGTTGCTTGAACATAGGGACAAAAATTTTCATCTGTCCGTCTGTCCGTCCGACCATCCCTGTCTGCCCATCTATCTATCCACCTATAAATGTCTGTTTATGTGCCCTTAAGAAGCCCCTTAGGAGAGGCAGACCGTATCAGAATTGAGCATCATTCCAGTATGAGACATACAAGCACAGAGCCAAGGACACGAGACAGTTAGCGGCGTCAGGCTAAGTGATTCGGTTTTAACAGGTGGGCGGCTCACTGGCGGTCTTCACACTGTGCAGTGCCCCAAAGCACGCTTGCCACCACAAGCAGTGAGTCTTGGGCAATCCCTTACCTGGTTACGTGGCTGACAGAGACAGAAGTGGCTCTCCTTGAATCTCTGTAGTGGAGCGGACCTCATGTCAGGCCAGGGGGCCCAGCCCTGGCGCGGGCGGTTGGCAGCTGCATTCTTGCCGGCGCTGAGTCACCCCAGCTGCTTGGGAGCTCAGCTTCATGTTCCCACCTCCACTTGAGAGCATGATTTTGTTGGTAATGGCTCAGCTGTTTAATTAAGTTGCTAATTCAGCTTGCTTGTGTGTGTACCTCGCTCTGTTCCCCTTTTTCCCAGGTCAAGAATGGTTAGAGCTGGGGTGTTTGGATATCCGGGTGTTATACTGAATTAGGGGTGAATGGGATGATCCTGATTCACCACTCTGTGCCCCTTGTAGCCACCATGACAGCTCTTGCCCCAGCCCGATGTCATTGAGAAGAAGCACCCGGAGCTTCCATTAATCAGACTCGGCTGCTCACAGTAACAGGAACAAGTTTTCCTTGCGGGGTCGCAAGCAGCTCATCAGTGCAGCACAGAGTTGTTTGACACTGTTCCTGAAGCTCCAGTACAGCACACAGCTGCTTATGTGGAGGAGTTTGTTGTGTATTACTGTTGTGTGCGCAGTGACCATATGTCCCCAGAGACATGGGACAGGACAGAGCACTTTGCCTTTGTTCTCCATAGTCTCAAGACTGAAGCTTACCCAGAAGGTGACTCTTGTCCTGTCGTGGACATCTGCAATGGTTGGAGACATTATTGGCTGTGGCAGCTGGAGGCTGTTACTGACATCCAGTGGGCGGAGGTCAAAGATGTAGCTAAACATGCTGGCTTTGCAAGGTGCCAAGGTGCCCCCCACTTGATACGAGAAAGGTCTGCTGTTCAGGTACTTGTATTGTCAAAGTGGAGACACACTGCCTGGGACTGACATCCCCACCGGCAGGTGTGTAGCCAGGACAGTTTGGATGGTACCAGAATAACTTCCCAGATGGTCTGTACAGGATGCATTCTCTGCCCTCCTCTCTCAGGAGTCTGCTGCCCGCCTGCAAGTTTGCAGTGGAAAAATACTTTTCTGTGTTAGTCAGAGGCACTTGGAAAGAGGCCAGGAGGGCCTGTTCTAATCTGGGAGAGCTGGCAAGGGTACCTGTGCTTCAGGCTATAGAAGCTGCATTCTAGAGACCTTTCCTGAGATGTTTAATGCCCCCGCCACTGTTCTCAGGAACTTCACGGGACTCCTGGGTGACTTTATTGAGGCTCGGTGACCTGCAGCTGTCTGCAGAGATATTCAGTTTCCCAACTGGAGACGTGTCGCAAAGCTGCATCACAGAGTCGGGTGTTTTCTTCATCTGGTGACCTTGTCTCAGCTATTTCACACTCCCTGGTTGCTCAGCTCTCCAGTGGGGTAGTAACCCTTCCTGTCTGCCACGGAGGGCATTGTGTGGCCATACAAACGAATCCTTGAGTGATCCCAGTTAACTGTAAAATGTCTACACTAGTGACGCTCACCTGAGGTTGGGATGTGTAAGCTTATTTGCTCTTTGGTCTTGTTTTTAGAAGAGCTTCTGTTTAAACTGGGTCTGTGGCAAGATAAAAATATACTGTCTTCTTCACTAAGGGCTCCTCAGCTGGACAGGCCTGTGCTACACCTGATAGACTATGCTCCCCAAAGTCTTTATTGGATTGTCAAGGCTCTGAAAGTCCTCCATGACCTCCTAGGTAACTTTACCTGTTGAACTTGACCCACTGCGATTCTCTTCCCAGTCTGCGGTTGCGTACATCTGTTTATGTTATTTGTTTAATGTCTAGGCTGTAGATTCCATGAGAACTCATTTTACTCATGGCTGTACCCTGGCACAGGACTGCCACACGGATGCTCAGTGGTGAATTACCTAGTGGATGGGTAAATGGTAGGAGACATAAAAGCATGGCTTTGACGTCAGATGGCCCTATGTTTATGCATGACTCTACCCTGCTCCCTACTTCTCCCCTCCTGTGCCCATTGGGTCACCACCATGGTTGCCTTGGTACTTTTGTCCTCATGGCACTGTGGCCCTCACTTTATCTGTTTATTTATGTGACAGGATCACCTGATCTTGAACTTGTGATCCTCTTGCCTTCTTCTAAGTGCTGAGACTGCAGTGCACACCACTGTTCCCAGCTTCCAGGGTTCTGGGGATTGAATACACAGCTTCACACATGCCAGGCAGGTCCTCTACCAAGTGAGCTATCGATTCTTTGACTAATTCCTTCTCCCATGAGACTAATAAGCTCCATGAGAGCAGGTGATGTGCTTACCTTGGCTTGCCATTGTCTCTTCAATTTTTAGCCCAGCACTTGTCATTTAGGAGGTCATTAGCTGATACATGTGCAGATGAACAAGCCTAGCTGCTACAGACATCTTCCCATGTCAGAAGGATGGGGATTAAATGAGTGGTATAGTAAAGCACTGGACTGCACCCCCCCCCCCAGTCACATCAGCTTTCTCTGCCCTGTTAGAAACGCTGGAGCTCCCTGAACTGGTGTATTTCTTCTGCATGAGCAGAGGTCTCTGTGGATGCCTCTGGGTAGGTAACAGGTTGATTCTTCATTGTCCTGAGGTGTGTGGAGACATCAGTGCTTAAAAATGCCAAGTGCTGGCTGCTGGCAGTTTGTTAGAATTTCAAGGGAATGCTCTTCATAGGTTCCAAATGGTATTGTGGGGTTGGTCAGAATGTCTTGAGTTCTTTGCTTTCCGGACGCTGGAAGCTTTCCCTGAACCATACAGCATCCCAAAGTTGCCTTGTGGTCTCAGAGGGATATGGATTGAGAACTTGAAGCCGAATGCAGAGAATTCTTTGACATTCTTCACTTTTCTGTGCCACCCAAGAAAGACATGGAGTATTGGATGTTACAGAGTCAGGGGTGGGGGATGTGTCTTCATCACATGGGAGGTGAGAAAACTAAAACCAGGCAGAGAAACGAGACTTGGAGGCAGCCCTAGAATCCCAGGTCAGTTCTGCTGCCTGGGAAATCTCATCTCTTTCATTGCTGACCTTCCCGGTCATAGTAATATTCTTTAGATTTTTTTCTTATAGATTTATTAATTTTTATGTGCCTTGGTATTTGCCCCCCCCACGCACGCACACACGCACGCATGCACGTGTACCATGTGTGTGCCTGGGGTTCAGAAAGGAGGTTGGATCCCCTTGAGGTAGAGTTATAGATGGTTGTGAGCCATTGTGTAGGTGCTGGTTACCAAACCTGGGTCCTCTGTAAGAGTAGTAAATGTTCTTTTTGTTTGTTTGGTTTTGTTTTGTTGAGACAGGGTTTCTTTGTGTAGCCTTGGCTGTCCTGAACTAGCCCTGTAGACCAGGCTGGTCTGGAACTCACAGAGATTCACCTGCCTCTATCTCCCATATGTAGGGATTAAAGGCATGCACCACCACTGCCTGGCTGCAGCAAGTGTTCTTAACCACTGAACCATCTCCCCTTAGTAATGTTCTTTTAATTGTGATAGTTTCCTTTTTTTCTCTTAAGACAGGAGGCATATATGGGCAGGACCACCTCTTAGCTACTACTCTCTTTTCTTTAGGAATCATAGACCAAGAAATTCTTGATCGCATTTGATGTCTGAGCATCAGTGAAATCCAAGCCCACTTTGGTTCACACTGAACAGGATTTATAAATATACCCAATGCTGATTTTTCAGCTTTGGGGCCAAGATCCCTTCCAG